TTTAACAACATACATGTTTCTTCACAGCCTTACCAACAGAACCCACTATCAATTTTGATTTTGCCAATTTGATGGGAGGAAACCGGGCATCTCAGTGTATCTCTGATGCTCACCTCTCCTCTGAGACTGAAGTTGAGAAACTCTGATATTACTTTTTCAACCCTCTGTTAGCCCTCTACTTAGATATGTTAGGGTTGTTGGCCTTTTCATTTTGACTTCTAGGAATTTCTTAGTTAAGGACCATCAGTCACTTTTTTCATTGTTACGACAAATTACCTGATTAAAGCAACTTAAGGACAGGTTTGTTCTGGCTCAGATTGAGGTTCTAGGTCTGTCATCTGCATCTGATGTCAGGAGGGCACAGTGGCAGGTGTGTTGAGGCAGCTGTTCACACTGCATCTGATATCAGGAGGACACAGTGACAGGTGTGTTGAGACAGCTGTTTACACTGCATCTGATATCAGGAGGACACAGTGGCAGGTGTGTTGAGACAGCTGTTCACACTGCATCTGATGTCAGGAATCAAACAGCCATGAATGCTGAGGCTTTTACTTTCTCCTTTTTATTCAGCCCAAGATCCCAGCCACCCACAGACATAGTGGCTCTTTCCACCTCGATAACCGAATGTAGAAACTCAGACACACCCAAATATCTGACATGCTACACTATTGGTTAGAGTCTGACTATAAAGGAGAACATACTATTTTTCCTGAGATTATGAGATCTCACTGAATATTATTCAGTCTATGTCCATCTATTTTCCTGCAAATTTTGTGATTACAGTTTGTGGCTACAGGCTTTTAAAGGAATTTACCTGTGTGTTCAATGTATTTAAGACACACTCTAGGGTGGTGAGATGGCTCTGTGAGTGAAGGTATCTGTCACCAATCCATATGACCTAAGTTTGATCCCTAGGACCTACATGGCGGAAGGAGTGTACTGACTCCCTCAAGGTGTCCTCTGACCTCCACACCCATGCTTTGGTGCACCCCACCTCCCATATGTGATAGAAACTTCACTGAAGCAAAGTTTTCTTTATGTGACTTTTGTACATTTCCTGGGTTTTCCTCTACTATTTCAGATAAGTAGAAGTTTTCTTTCAAAATAGCTGTTAACCACTTAATAGTTGCATGTGGAGAGACTGTTTATTTATACTAATCTTATGTACTGCTATCTTATAAAAGTGTTGTGCTAATGGTATTTTCTACCACTGAGTCTTTAACATACACAATCAGCTATAACTAGAAATCATTCTATTTCCTTGTTTCGAATTATACCTCCAAATGCTGGTCTTAATTAGATTGCCTAGTACTCCTGGTATTTCACTCCTGATTTTAGTGGAAATACTTAGTGCTCTGCCGTCAGAAGAGATATTAGCTTCGGCGCTAACTGAGTGCACATAATTATGCGAAAGAAAAACAAATTCATTCATTTTTATTCTGTTGAGCATTTAAAAAATAAGTCATGGTTATAGTTTTGTTTTAGGTTTTATCATAATAAAAAGAAATGAACATTGCTTCAAAATACAGATGTAATATTTAATATTAAGGGATTTGTTGGTTTTAAATCTTTCTCAACATCCTGGAATGAACCTTACCTTATCACTGCATGTTTTGTTTAATATGTTCCTGAGTCTGTGTAAAAATGTCTGCTTTTGTTTTTTTTTAAAACAAAAAAGAATTTTCCTCTCATTATATTGAAGAAAGATTTAAATCTGATTTTCTTTTATTGTTTATAACCTTAATCATTTTTGTATTAATTTTCAGTTCATGGAACTAATTAGGAAAATTTCCTCTATGCTTACATTGGTAGGTTTTAAGCAACAGAGAAATAGCTGTTCTTTTAAAGGTCTTGGTCCCTTGGGAGTCACCCAGGCTTGCCGTCCTCTTTGTTGTGATCAGGGGTTGTTGGAAAGGTATGCCCACTGTGCCTCAGCCCCAGAACTAGCTGTCCTGGTGACTGTGGAGTAGAAAATAGGAATTAGATTCCAGGGGTAACAATCTCAATGGCAGACGGGTAATCTCAAGGGGTAAGGGGTGAGTAGTGTCCTTTAACAACACACTTGTTAGTGTAAGGATCCACAGTGACAAAGAGTATTTGCTTCACCAAATTTGAGCAGCCTGTGAATCTTCTAAACTCATCTGTGAAACCCAGTGTTACCCAAGAACCTCCTCCCCAGGGGGTCCACGTCACACTGCTCGTCTGTCCTGTCCCCTGCACTGTCACCTGCAACAGCCCTGTCACACCAGTTTAGGAGGAACCTTTCTCAGGGTTTTTGTAGATGTGGTTACCCATGTTGGGCACCAGTGGTGGTGCATTTATGCAAGGCAGGGTTTCTCTGTGCAGCCCTGGCTGTCTTGGAACTCACTCTGTAGATCAGGCTGGCCTTGAACTCAGAGAACTGCCTGCCTGGATCTGATCTGGAATGCTGGATTAAAGGTGGGAGCCACTACTGACCAGCTAGGCAAGTACTTGTTGCCCCTTCATAGGCAAATATGAACCCCCCCCCCCAGCACCTACACACCCCCTGCAGCTAGCTGCATGAAGGCTAAGGAGACATACATAGTCCTCTGTCCAATAGTCAGGAGAGACAAAGACAGCACAGGGCTCATGTTAGATCTTTCAACATGAAATTAGAGTCAGCCCATGAGGGGCCTCAGAGGGTTACATTTTGCTCTAGAATCTTTTAAGAGAGTTATTATCTCTTTTTATGCATGTGACCGTGTGAGCATATACCACATGTGTGCAGGTGCCTGCAGAGGCCAGAAGAGGGCATTTGATCCCTTAGAGCTGAACATACAAGCAGTTGTGAGCCTTCTGAAACAGGTGCTAGGAACCAGCCTCTGGTTTCCGGAAAGAGTAGCACAAGCTCTTAACTGCTGAGCCCTGCCTCCAGCCACAGCAGATAAGTCTTTAAAACATTTGCACATATATGTCTGCATTTATGTGTATGTGTGGGTCATCGGGTTACAAGCTGAGTCTGGAGGACAAGCCGTGGGCATCAGTTCTCTTCTTCCACTATGTGGGTCCCAGTGATCCCACTCAGCTGGTCATACTTGATGGTGCTCACCCGTAACTACTGAACTATCTCTCTGGGACAAGAAGAAGTCTTTAAAAACTTTTCTTTTTTAAAACCAACTCTTAAGATTTTGCATTTCTCAAATGGGGGCCAATCAAATTTGGCTTCTACCCACACCATTATACAAAGCAGGCTGTTAGTTTTTGTAACCATTGTCTGTGTATTCCTCCTACCTGCCTTTGTGTCTGGGGTTCATCTGCCTGGGTAACCAAGTTTGGCAGCACTCACCTTGTCTAGTCCCAGCATCTTACCCTGGACACATATTTAATCTTACTGTTACTTCGGATGTTAAAAAGTAGCCAGGTGGTGATGGTGCACACCTTTATTCCCAGTACTCAGGAGGCAGAGGCAAACAGATCTCGGTGAGCTCAAGGCCACATGGTCTACAGAACAAGTTCCAGAACAGCCAGGGTTACACAGAGAAACCCTGTCTCGAAAAATTAAAACAACAACAAAACATGGTGGGGATACGTTTTTATGTGAGCCTGGAAGGCTGGACTTGAATGGGTGTGGAGAAGGTGGTAAGGCAAACACTGTCTGAGGGTAGGAGGAGGGGCATAGGCAGGCATGAGTCACTGTGTAGATGTGCAGAACCCAGGGAAGGGAAGAAACTGGTCTGAGATAGGGAACCCTGCAAGCAGAGGAGGACAGAAGCCTAGATGCTGAGAAAGATTTTTACACTCAGTGGAATGAGCAGGACGTGGGGCTTTGGATGTCTCCCTGGTGGGAATGCAGATTCTCAGTACAGCAGGGGGCATGGCCAATATAGCTTTGTCAAGAGCCTAGGCAGCAGGTAAGTGTGTCCCTTTATCTCCTCTTCCTAAGCTTTACTGAGGCCAAACTTTTTCAACTAGTTGAATGCTAACCAATAGTTGCTCACTCTTGTAATTTGAGAGCCCCACACTTGTCGGGCACTCAGGAGCTCTTAAATGAAGGAAAAGAGGGAGGGAGAAAAGAAAGATGCTGCTGTTGTTTCACCTCTGTTGCTGCTGCCTGACAGAAAGCATCTTAGAGGAGAGAGAGAGTTTATCTTAGCTCGCAATGCCAGGTAACCATCTGTTACTGTGGCAGAGCCAAGGTGGCAGGAACTTGGAGCAGCTGTTGACATCACGTCCACAGTTAAGAGCAGAGGGAAGTGAATGCCTGCATGTCTAATACTCGGCTAGCTCTCTGCTCTTACAGAGTCCAGGGCCCAAGACCAGGGAACGGGGCCACCACTTTTGGGCTTGGTCTTCCCACCATCAATTAAGGCAATCAGCATATTCTTCCACAGACACGCCCAAAGGCCAACTTTACCTAGACAATCCTTCACTGAGACTCTCTTCCCTGGTGATTCTAGATTGGGTCAAGTTGAGAAACATAATCCAAATAGATATAGGTCAACAATTGGGCCTAGTGAGTAGCTAAGAACCTTAGGTAAGCATGGTTAGTACCTTTTCCTGGTCACCTCTGGGGCTTACTCTTCTATACTTCAACTCTTATGGGGTCAGCAGCTTGCAGGAAAACTTACTTTTGTACTCTCTGTTGATTCTCTTGCATTAGGGGAGCTGACCCCAAATGCAAGTAAAGACAAACCTGGGTAATAACAGCACAAAAGGAGTAAGAGCTGAGGAGAGGGCCTCGTGGAAGAGAGAGCTGCTGTTTGTCCAGGGCCTTTGTCTCCCCTGTGAATTGTCCCTAGTCACCGGAGTCTAAATCCAGCAATGGTTCTGTAAACACCCAAACCTAAGTTTCTCCCTTGGCTGCACGTTCTTCAACAGTACACCGTCGGGAGGGCCTGACTCATCAGAAATAGTTCCCCAGAATCCTATGCATCACCTAGACACCCTTGAATGCTTTAGATAAAAGCTGACGTTTCAGAATGTGCACCAAGATAATGTAAAAGCAACAGATTGGCTACGAGTCACCCAAGCTGTATACCTCTAACCACACGGTTTGTTTATTTTTCACCGTGTTTCCTTCACCGCCTTTTTTTGTGGCTCACTCTATACAGCTTGTGTACTTGCTTTAAGAACATTATCAGTTTCGATGCTGCTCTGCCTTTACTCAGTTTTTCCGAGACCCTCTTCTCTCAGGCTTCGCTTTGCCTCACAACTGCAGTGGGCCAGTTTTCAGCCAGAGGAGAGGCCACATCTGCTTCCTGTGGGCCCTCTGGTCAGAAGCATGCATGGCCGGCTGCTCCTGATCTGGGTCCAGGGGCTAACACTGGCTGCCTTCCTCACTTCAGGTAAGGCCTGCAAGCCCAGCAGAGCAGGGAGGTGGGCTTGCCACAGAGACCAGGGTTCTCGGGTAGAGGAGGCTCTGAGTACAGGCCACGCGCATGTATGTCGGGTGGTTCTGTGGTCCTCTGTGACCACGTGGGAAGAGGCAGGCACTGGGAAGGGGAAGTAGATGTGTTTGGGATCGCAGGGGATAGCCTTTGTAGGTCCTCTGGGTTGGGACCCTGATAGGCCAGCTGTACATGAAAGGAGGCTGGGGAGTGGACGAAGGTGGATGCCGAGAAGTCTCCTGAAAGCCCACTCCTTTCCCCCTCCATCTTCCTTTCTCTTTCTGAGGAACTTCTAGAAATATATTCCAGCTGGTTTTCTGTTGATCAGATATACCTGCTTCCCAGACTTTCGGGGTCTCCCATTGATACCACTGGCTAAATTCTGTTGTGTTTCTATCGTATTAGACACTGCAGAGAAACATTCCCAAGGGAAAGGAATAAAATATTTAAAGATTATACTGCAAAGTAGTTTAAAGACTGAACCTAGAACATTCTGAGGGTAGAGAGGAGCTGGGGTAGGGGGTGGTGCGGGTGACGAAGATGCTTTCCTCTGGGAGAAGTCTTGTCTTGCCCTGCTCTGCCCTCTCCTGCCCTCTCCTCTCTTCTCTCCTGCCCTCTTCTTCCTTGTCTTCCCCCTCTTCTCTCCCCTCCCCTCCTCTCTTCCCTTCTCCTCTGCTCTCTTCTCCTCTTTCCAGTTCCCCCTTTCTTTCTTTTCCTTTCTTTCCCTGTTTCTGATCCCTTCTCCCCCCCCCCCTTACTTTGGTTTGTTTCTTTGACAGATACAGGGTCTCACTATATTCCTAAAGCTAGTCTGGAACTTACTACATAGTCCAGACTGGCCTGGGACTCCACTATGATCCTCCTGCCTCAGCCTCCTATGTGCTGAGATTAAAAGCATCCACTACTACCTGTGGCTGAGCAGCAGGGTTTCTTGCCATGTCTCCTTTGCCCAGGATTTTTTCCCCTTTCTCTCTTGAAGGTTTTTCCTGACATCCCAAATGGCAATCAAGTAGCCCAGTTCTATTTCAAAGGATAGGACCAGACACAAGACTAGATTGCTGGAAACTAGAGAAGCAGAAGATTCATAGTACAGGGCAGATATTCTAGGTGGGAAGACTAGATAAACTTATGAAAGAAATCAAGCACCTAGTCAAGAAGCTGCACAGAGTACCCTGAACAGGCAAGGTGCGGAGCCATGAGGTACACCAGGCATTTAAGGTGTTATACAACACGGGTGAGAAAGGCCATCTCATAAGTTGGGGTCCTCACGGATGGAGGGGCACAGTCCTGACAAACAGGTAAGAATGAGACAGAGTGAGGCAGACGTTCTGGCAGTAGCAGTGACAGACTGGAATTGGGTACATGGAAAAGGGCAAGAAGATTGGGTAGGACTTGGAGCCTGACGGACAGGTATAGTAAGGAAAGTCTCTAGAAATGAAGGAAAGAGGAAGTGAAGATAGTCTCCATAGGCTAGACTTTGGCTCCTAGAGCCACTTCCGGCCTTTGAACATCCTGGGATTCCTCAGGAAGGTTGAACAGCTGCGGCTGGCTAGAGACTCACATGTGCTTCTTCCTCTCCCATAGGAGCCACAAAAGGCACAATACAGACAAAGGGGAACATTTCTGCCGAGGAAGGTGGCTCTGCCATCTTACAGTGTCACTTCTTCTCCAACACAGCTGAAGTAACCCAAGTCAACTGGGAGCAGCGGGACCAGATTCTGGCGGTTTATAGTGCTGAACAGGGATGGTATGTCCCTTTGGTCTTCAGTGAGCGGGTGGTCCCAGGCCCCAGCCTAGGCCTCACCTTCAAGTTGCTGACAATGAATGACACAGGGGAGTACTTCTGCACCTTCCACACCTATCCTGATGGGATTTACAAGGAGAGAATATTCCTGAAGGTCCAAGAAAGCTCAGGTATGTTCTTTGAAGCAGGGAGACAATGAACCACTTTCTTTCACATAGAAAACTCCATCCTGAGACATTCTGGGAAGCTGGAACCTATCAAACTCACTGGAGGAACTTTTGGGGCCTTGTAAGGATAGGGCAACTCTAGCTAATGAAATCAGAGCCTCTCGGGGGCAGGGCTAGCATCTGATATGTTCTGGAAACAGCCAGCTGATTCTCGTGCACAACCACTGATTTTGCACACAAATACATCTTATCTAAACTGACAAGACCCTTGGATGAGGTTACCCATGAAAGGTGATCATTTAATGATGAGTATACAGAATAGCTCTCAAGTCAAAGCCCATGCTTAGTATGAATGTGTAACACTCATCCACCTTTGTAGGATGAAGCTTCAAAGCTTCCAAATGTTCTTGTAATGATCATTTTTGGGCAAACATGAGATAGTTTTACTGAGGGAAAGCATTATTAAAATCACATCTGAGAGATAGTTTGGCAGGGTAATAAAGTGCTCTGCCTCGGACGTCAGGCAACTCGGGTTCAAACCTTGCTGTTGGCCTCAGCCAGGAATTTAATTCTTCTGTGCAACCCTTTTCTCATCTGTGCATGAGGATGGTGCTAAGGCTTTCGAGGTGCCAATGGGGGGTTGAACAACCTACTGTAAGCAAAAGCCCTTAGCCCAGCTTCCAGGAACATAGCAAGTGCCGTGGTAGGTGTTGACCATGAGTATGATTCCCATCTGATTGATGGCGGCAGAAGCTAAGGTTTGGAACTGTTCAGGGTGGCAAAGCTGATGTTAACACAGACGTTCAGGCTCCATGGCATGTGACACTCAGAACTGCTCACCGTTGGCTATACGGGAGTTTAGGTTAAGAACATGTGTGCATTGAAATTATGTTGCAATTTAGGTTTCATGAGTCTTAAGAACATTGTGGATATTGAAGTGATAGAAGTTCACCTTAAAGTTTCCTTTCAAACATCACTTCTTGGCTGGCTCCGTCATAGATTAAATACAATGAGTAGTCAAGAGCCCAGGTTCTAGAATCACACCACTGGGACTAAAAGCTGTCATGTATCCTGGATAACTGTGGTACTTAAATTTTCTTGTATTGCTGTCCTATGATAAATGGCGAATCATCTCATGAGTTGTTACAAATGAGGTCTTGGGACAGTGTTGTGCATTGCACTTGTTCAGGGGAGGCTTGGAAAATAAAGACCACAGGAGATCTAGGTCGCAGTAAGCATGTGCGGACCGTGACAACTGTGGGCTCTTTACCCCTGTATTATATTTCCCAGAGCCTCTCTCACCACACTGCAGGACCGTCTTGCTTCTCAGGAAGACGGTTGATTGCATTAAGGCAATGAACCCTCCTTTAATTGTCTCCATCAGCTCCATCCCTGCCCTCCTACTTACCCTGATCTCAAACATGGACCGAAGCCCCTGGTAATCTGGTATTACATAAACTGTTGTCTAACCAGAGTTGGAGATGTAGCTCAACAGTAGAGTGGTTGGCCAGGATGCATGAGGCCCTGGGTTTAATCCCCGGTGCCACAAGTAATACCAAATCGCTAACGTAGATTACATGCCCCCCACCACACACACCTGCACGTTGGCAGGCTGTCCTGACTGCCCTGAGACTCTTTCAGTTTCTTTTTTTCAGAAACCGTGGCTCTGGATAGAAGAGTTAAGTGCTTTCGTTTTAAACCAAAAATTACTAGTTTAGTTGGCGTTTTAATATTCCTGATTCAGCCTGCTTTAACCAGACTTAACTCACTCACCTTTAAATTTGACCACAAGCATTACCATAATCTTCCCTAAAATTTCATGATGTGTTTAGCTGCTCCTTGTTTCACAGTTCAGCTTGAGGAGAACCCTTACTAACCCCACCTTGCAGAGTGGCTCTGCCCTCTTCTTCTGTCCACACACTCTCCTTCCAAGCTCCCTGCACCCCTGCAGTGTCCAGACCACGGTCTTCCATCCCCTTTCTTCCTGAGTGAGCCATGGCCATGTCCACCGAGGGGCCAGCCTGGCCTCCACTGACTAAGTCCTCAGAGCAGGAGGAGTATGCTGGGGCCAGATCAGATGACGTGGCCTCTTTTCCTACAACCAAAACCTGGGGTTCAGGGAAGTGGGGACAGGCCTTTTCTTGTTTCAAGTCTTCCCAGGACTCTGGGGGTCCTGCCTGAGTCCTGGAGAAGAGGGAAGTGTGGAGAAAGTGTCCTAGCAACCATTCCTCAATGTATCCCAGCATCTACCGTGTACTAAGGACTGAGGAAACAGCCGAGAGTAAGGTTGCAAGAGACTCGCTTCTTCTGGGGTTTCAGACCTGGGCTATAGGGCTAAGGTGAAAAGTTTCATGCTTTTTCTTTCCGTAGTTTGGTTTCAATTTTGAATTAGTCAGTTTTAACACTATGGATGTGTGTGTGTGTGTGTGTGTGTGTGTGTGTGTGTGTGTGTGTGTTTGTGAATTATGGATGAAACAATTCACTTTCTGAGTTTTCTTTTGTTTTTATTTTATTGTAGATTTGATATTTGTTTATTTATACATATGGGTGTCTTGATCGCATATACACCTATGCAACACCTGGTTCTGGTGTCTGTGTAATGATTTCAGTCACATAAGGCTGGGTTCTAGAGCCACGTCTGTGCAGACAAGCCCTCAGGCAGAAGTGCCTGTATGTTAAAGGGCTCCACGTGACACACTTGTGTGCATGCATGGCTACATCCACTAGGACTCAGCTAAGCCCTTGTGTGCATGCGTAAACCCATCATCTGCGTGTGATGTAGACACACCATCCCCCCTGTGTGCATGTGCTCTCTCTCTCTCTCTCTCTCTCTTTCCCCCCCCCCCCCCCCCCCGCACACCGATTCCCCAGGCCAGTACACCCCGCCTCTAATAAACACCTAAGTGGGTTTGTTGCGTGTTCCATGTTTCCTTCTTATCTGCGCCAGGTAATTTCAGTCTGGAGGCCAGAAGAAGAATTTGGATACCCTGGGACTGTGGTGGGGGGCTTGAGCACCAGCCTCAGAACCCCCTCAGGGCTCAGAATTGGATGTCTCTGGCAGGCGAGGATCCGTGGGTAAAAAATTAACTCAAGTACATTACCTCTGCATCTTCTTTATTTTTCATGCAAGGGGAAAAATGAAGTGAAGGGGGCACAGAGAAGAGGAAGAATAAGAAGAGTAAGGGGAAGAAGTAGAAGTAGCGAGGAGAAGAAGAGGAAGAGTAAGGGCTGATCTCCAGAGGTTTCTAGTTTTTACAGACGTAGCTGCAAAATTCCATAGGCAAGGACAATGATAATACGCATATCAAAATCACAAAGAGGGGCAGGTAGAACCTGACAAAGCAGTACCTGTGGCCCGGCCCAGGGAAAGGCCAGCATTCAAGGGGAAGAACCTGACAATCCAAACTATTAGATAAAGTTACTAAACGTCCCTGAATCCTGGACTCACCCAGTCTCCTCATCTAATCTCTGATAACCAGCTTTGAGGATGCCCAGCTTTGTTTGTCAGCAAAGGTGGGGCATGCTGCCTTCCTGCTCAGTCCTGTCTTCTATAGAAATCCTATGTGGTCTGTTAGCAGGTGAGTGTGTGGGACTGACTTGACGTAAATTTGAATGTGGGGGAGGGGGGATGGAGCAAGGTCACTCACTCCTTTGCCTGCTGAAGTGTTTTGGGAACGAATCCCATTTTGAAGGGAAGAATCATGGCTTCACAAGGTTTTTACAGATATGACAGTGACTTTTCCAAAAGACAAGTGTTCCCGCAGCTCTGCAAAACGGGTTATTCCATGTGGACATGGACTATACACTTCCTGTGGATCGGCCTATTGGTCTGTCAGCTGCGCACTCACTGTATATAGTCCTGTGGACTCCAACAGGACTGGAGTTACAGACAGTTGTGAGCTGCCATGTAGGTGCTGGGAATAAAGCCTGGGTCCTCACAAAGAGCAGCCAGTGCTCCTAACCGCTGAGCCATCTCTCCAGCCCGTCCTAGGTTTCCTTTTAGATGCTACTATTTGTTTCATTTCATGACTCTGGAAACAAGTTGTTGACTAGGGGAAAGGATTACGACACTGGTCCAAGGTGGACGCAAGGTGCCTCGCTCCTCGAGAGATCTGCCGACTCCACTGGGCACCTGGATGCTGCTCTGCTGACCAGAGTTAAGGTTAAAGACTCGAGCAGAGGACAGTTCTAAGAGCACCCCACCTCTGGCCTCGGCCTCGAACTCCATAAAGACCAGGCTGGCCTCAATTCAAAGGCCTGCTTGCCTCTTGCCTCTCAAGTGCTGAGATCAAAGGCATGCACCCCCACAACTGGCACTGGCTTTTGAAATAGTCCTGGCTTCCCCAGAGAAGGCAGCCTTACTCCCCACCTCCACCTCCGTCACTCACCTCTGTTTCCTTTTCCCTGTAGGGCCTCAGTTCCAGATGACATCACTTGGAGGAGCCATGGCTGCTGTGCTGGGAATCATCTGCTTACTGATCACAGGGGCGGCTGTGAGAGCTAGACGGGTAGGAGAGGACAGCCTGTCTCAGTCCCACCACGGCACCCCCATTCTTGCCCCTCTGGTGACCTCTGCTATTCTTTTAGTGGCTATATTAGGCATTACAAAACGTACCTGGATTTATTCAAGTTCCGTTATATTAGTAATAACCAGTCAATGACCTATAACTTCCAGGAATATGCAAGAGCCTTAGGTCATAACAGCTCCAGTCTCCATGACATGGCTCTATCATCCCCTTGTTCTTTGGTCCTTTCTACTTTTTAGACCCACAGATGTGGTTGTTTTGTGCATCCACATAACTCTAGGGCCACCCCTCCTATTGCTCTCCTCTCCGTCCTCCCTGTCCGGGCCATTTTCCTTCTGCCTGAGGAATATACCGCAGTATTTCTGCAGTGCAGGTCAGCAAAGGCAAAGAATTATTTTGATTTTTGTTGTTCACCTAAAACTTGTTTTCCCATATCTGTAAATATAGTGTGTTTGTCTTACTAGGTGCAGTAGAATCTTGTGTTGGCCAGTATTCTCTATTAGCACATGGAAAAAATTATTCTATTGTTTAACTTCATATATTTTTCTTTTTTGGAAACTGGGTTTTATCCTTACTTCTTTAAAAATGCCTTTTCTCCTTGTTCTTTTAACATTTCCTGCCTTAAGGTTTCAGCATTTGTACAACGATATAATTAGATGTCATTATCTTTGTATTTATTCTGTATGGGGTTTGGATTGAGTGGTTTTTTTTTCACTTGTGGTTTGATGGGTTTCTGTCAATTTGGGGTCAGTCCTGGCCATTTCTTGTTATCTATTCCTTCTCTATTCTTGCTTTCTTCTCCTTCTGGGCCTCTCGTGGCAGGGACTTTTGAGGCTCCCTTCTCTTCCACATGTCTCCGAGTCTCTTTTGTAATTTCTGCCCATTCAGATCTCCATGTTTTGCGGTGAGTCTTCTCTTCTTACTTTTCAGATTACCAAATATCTCCTTTGATGTATCTAGTCATTGTTTAAATAGTTTATATCCTGTCAAAACTCCCAACCTTCGAGCTTATTTATCGGTTATTCTGGTCTGTACCCGACAATCCTGTTAATTACACCCTTCCTGGGCCTTTTCCTATTCTCTATTTTCATTCGATTGTCAGTCATTCTCTTCTTCTCTTGCCCAGTAGTTTTCCTGTGTGCCGGACATTCTCCATGGAAAGCTGCAGCTTCTTCTTCCCTGCAGCCCCTTGTAGCCAGTAGGTGACGATTTTCACGTCTTAGCAGTCCCAGGTCACCTGAATTAAATCAGCAATGGCAGGCTGCAATCCGTTCCTTATTGCTGTGATAAAGTGTCCCCGGAAGCAGCTTAAGGAAGTCGGGGCTTATTTTGGCTCATGGTTTGGAGGTCGTCTTTGTTAGGGTTTTATTGCTGTGAAGAGACACCATGGCCACAGCAACTCTTATAAAGGAAAGCATTTAACTGGGACTGGCTTACAGTTCGGAGGTTTACTCGTGGCAGGAAGCATGGTGGCCTGCAGGTAGACATGGAGCTGGAGATTGATCTGAGAGTTCTCCGTCTGGATGCACAGGCAGCAGGAACAAAGTGCCATCCTGGGCCTGGCTTGAGCATCTGAGACCTCAAAGCCCACTCCCAGCGACACAATTCCTTTAACAAAGCCACACCTACTCCAAGAAGGCTACACCTCCTAATAGTGCTATTCCCTATATCTTATGGAGGTGATTTTCTTCCAGACACTACAGAGGTATAGTTCACTATGGTGGGGAAGGTGCGGGCAGCAGAAGGAATGTGAGGTGCCTGGATACAGTCAGGAAGCAAACACAGATGAATGCTGGTATTTCATTCCATTTCTCCTTTTTATCTGACCCGGGACTCTCCACCACAGGGATGGCATGGAAGTAGAATAACATAGAAAAGACCAATTCTTAGAAATTGATTAATTGACTTAGTGATTTACTTAAAGCACCATTTATAATGCCAACCATGGCATCCTTTGCTATCTGGAGCAGAACGGCTTAGAGAAATAGCTAAAACAATGTATCATTGCCCTTAACAACCTACTGACTACCTCATATTTCTGTAAAATCTTGCTTGCTTTCCCACCCCGCCTTGTGGTTTTAGAGTATAAATAGAGAATACAAACTGGATCCAGTACCCAGCCTTAAGGAGCTACCCTGGCTTCAGTCCCTGCTGACTCCTCCTCTCTTCCATTCCCACTGGTGGCAGATGCTTATTCTAGGAAAGATTCCCGGAACTGTGCGGTCCACACTCAGGGCAGGGCCTCCCAACTCACAACAGCATAGGGGCATCCAGAAGTCTATCTAAATCCCATCCAATTAACAATGAAGGTTAACTGTCCCTGAGGCCTTGGGACTGGATTTCAGTTCCCACCACTCCTCACTCCCAGGGTGTAGCCTCTGAGAGTCAATGGAAAGAAAGACAGTACAGAGCAACCTCTTCCACAAACACCCCTCCACATTCTACCCCAGAGCATCCTCTTCCACAAACACCCCTCCATGTCCTACCCCAGAACAACCTCTTCCACAAACACACCTCCACGTCCTACCCCAGAGAAACCTCTTCCACAAACACCTCTCTTTGTCTTACCCCAGAGCATCCTCTTCCACAAACACCCCTCTGTGTCCTACTCCAGAGCAACCTCTTCCACAAACACCCCTTCACAACCTACTCCAGAGCAACCTCTTCCACAAACACTCCTCCACGTCCTACCCCAGAGCAACTTCTTCCACAAACACTCCTCTACGTCCTACCCACCATCCCTCCAAACCTGGGATCTCTCTATGTGACTCAGGCAAGCCTGGGATTTTATTCCTCCTGCCCCTGCTTTCTAAGTGTTGGCATTACAGGCATGAGCCACGCAAATGCTCCTCTCCTCCTTTTGAGGTATTTTCTCCTGGAACTTGTTCCCAGTCCAAAAATCAACTTTAGATTGGCAGATATCTTATTTCTTCAAACATTTTCTGATATTCCATCTATTTTTCCTCTTTTCTTTCTTTTGTGTGTATACATATGTACTCAAGTTCAAATGTGGATATACAAACATGTATGTGCCGGTACTTGTGTGTGTGTGTGTGTGTGTGTGTGTGTGTAGAGGCCAGAAGGTGACAGAAGATATCTTCCTCAATTTCTCTCTACCTTAAATATTGAGGTAATGTCTTTCACTGATCCAAGGAGCAGCTGTCTCTGCCTTGAAGTATTAGTGGTTGCGGGCAGGTCACCACATTCACCCACCTCTGCGTCAATGGTGGGAATCTGGACTTTACTTGCCGTTTCTCCAGCCCTCATCTTTATTTACATCACTGTTTTCAAGTGACAGATATGTTCAAATCAGCAGAGAACTTTCTGGTCTTGATGTTATATTTTGTGTCTTCATTCTAAGATTGACTAAGAAGTTGAGACTGGTCTAGGATACCTTTTTTGTTTCTTGGTCCTGTTGGACCAAGTCTCCTGCTTAAGTTTTAGTCCCACCCCACCCCACCCCAAGTCCTGGCCAACATCCATCTTCTGTCTAACTGGTCCAGGCCTAGGGAGGGTTAGGTTAAGACTGAGCTAAGGAGGCAATGTTCTTAGACTCTGGTCCCCTTTCACCCACTCTGTGAGTTCTTGGCCTCTCTTTTTCGCACTCAGAGGGAGACCACACTCTGTTTTTCTTTTCTTTCTAACTCACGTTTGACATTTTAATCCTATGAAGATCTTTCTTAAGACCACAGTTGGAATGAATTGTACAAGCTGCCCTTGTAATGGTCTCCTTGGATTTCATAGCTCTTTATTGTAAAAAGTTGTGGGTCTACACTCTTGTTGTGACCCCATTATACGTAGCTTTGAACTGTTATTCTTCTTCTTCTAGAGGATGCATCTTCATGCTTTTACTCATTATAAAACTTGGACTTTCACCTCATCTTTTCCAACTTAAGTTGTCAGGTTTCTGTGTGGATGAGCCTGCTGCCTCAGTACCAAGCACACAGGCAAAATAAATACATCCTGTTGGAGTTCACATACACATGTCTTCAAACCTGATCCACAAATGAAGAGAGGCCAGTCCAAGTGCTTCACCCTAACATTCTTTAACTGGAGAGAGTGGAGTGAGGGTAGGGATGATGTCTTGGCAGCAGAAGCAAAGCTGTACCCCCCTTCCCCCCAGCGAACGACAGATCACTCAGATCTGACACTCAGGTCTCCCCTCGACAGTTAGTTTTCTAGGCTCCTTGTGGATCTTGCTAACCTGATCCCAAAGGAACTAGACAGACTCCATACGTTAGAAGTTCTGAATGCTCTGGGAAGTTAAATATGGCCTTTTATTATCATGCCCAATTTATCTGCAAAAATATTTGGTAAAGTATGATTCATCCTTTCACTTCCTGGTTATGGGATGAACGCCATGGCTGCTGCCCGACCTGATTCACAGAGATGTGACCACTGATCCTCTGTTACTCAGACCAGGCTGGACAGGGAGTCAAGGATTGGCAGTGGTTAAGCTGCAGCTACTGCTATGGCTTAAGCTGATTTTCCACACTATTTTCTGTTACATCACTGCTATCCTGACAGACATGATCATAAAATGAGAAGAGAGACTGAGGAAGGAGAAGTGGTTCACAAGAGGGAAGAGGTAACAAGAATAACAACCTACCTTTGGGCTGGAACAGTGAGGGTGATTGGTGAACAGATGTCTTCTGCTATCCCCAGCCTTCTTCAGTTTGGAATAAAGGAATTAGTGACCCTGCTAACACAGCAGAACATATTTGTCTATTAAGGATGTAAGGCTGGTTAATTTTCATGTCAGGTACCCAGACTAACTTTGGTAATAATGGAGACCGAGAAAAAGACCAACAGGTCTCAGTTTCTGTTGCTTCCCTTGTACACGGTGCTACCCACCAACCCTCTCTTTGATGCCCTCATTGTTGCCTGTCTAGACCCTTTGTGCTGTCATCTTGTAATCTGGATATAGTCTTGAGGGCTTGCTCTCTTCTTGTTCAAAATGTTATTCAATGTATGTTCAGGGA